CACGCCACCCCCGAGCTGGAGGGGAGGCCCGGGGTGCTGTGCACAGAGATTCGAGAGGCAGACGAGTCGCCGCCCCCCAGCATCTTCGGGCCAAAGAAGAAGTTCCGCCCCGTGGTCCAGAGGCCAGCGCCCAAGGACACCTCCCTGCACAGCGCCCTGATGGAGGCCATCCACTCGGCGGGCGGCAGGGACGGGCTGCGGAAGGTGAGCAGCAGGCCTGCGGGGCGTGGCCTCCTCCCTCCTCACCTGTGGGCCTCCCCCCTCCTCCCTCCTCACCTGTGGGCCTCCCTCCTCCCTCACCTGTGGGCCTCCCCCCTTCCTAACCTGTGGGCTCAGGGGCGCAGGGGGAGCATGGGGGAGATGAACAAGGGGACAGGGGGTATCTGAGCAGAACCACTAAAGACATAAAGCAGATGGTGGGGCCTGTCCACACCCCTTCAGGCCCCCAACTACCCTGGGAAGACGCCCCAAGAGTACGGGAGTGGAGGCAGCTCCCTCATCTGTGGGCCTCCTCCCTCCTCACCTGTGGGCCTCCCTCCTCCCTCACCTGTGGGCCTCCTCCCTCCTCACCTGTGGGCCTCCCTCCTCCCTCATCTGTGGGCCTCCCTCCCTCCTAACCTGTGGGCTCAGGGGCGCAGGGGGAGCATGGGGGAGATGAACAAGGGGACAGGGGGTATCTGAGCAGAACCACTAAAGACATAAAGCAGATGGTGGGGCCTGTCCACACCCCTTCAGGCCCCCAACTACCCTGGGAAGACGCCCCAAGAGTACGGGAGTGGAGGCAGGGCAGTCACACAGCTGCTCCCCGAACAGCAGAGGTGTTAGTGGACAGTCGGGCCAGGGCCGCTCCTGCCTGACACTCCTCAACACCAGGAGGACGTTCTGCCTTGGCCGGTGGCATAGTGGTTAGAGCTTCAGCCTACACACCAAGGGGTTGCAGGAGGCAGCCCCTCGAGGTCTTTCTCAGACATATTGGTGTTTCTCTCTCTCTCTCTCCCCCTCCCTTCAACTCTATCTAAAATCAGAGGAAAATATCCTCGGGTGAGAATTAACAAACACAATAGGGGCATGTTTAGGGCACGCCTCCCCGCACCCAGGCATGTAGGCCCACATCTTCCCTCCCTTCCCTGCTGCACCGAGTACGGAGGTCCCTCCTGGGTCCGAGGTGAGTGCCTGACCCAGGAGGTCGCTCTCACGGGCACCACGGAGGCTGCCGAGCCAGCGGAGCACCCAGCGTCTCCTCCAGGCTTTAGAGGGGAAACCGAGGCAGGTGCGTCCCAGGTCCTGGCCCAGGTCACACGGCGCTGGTGGGACCCGGGACTCCACCCAGGCCTGCGGCCCTGGACAGCCAGCAGCAGTGACCGGAGGGGCCCGAGATGCGGGGCCAGCAGGCGGGGTCCCCAGGCATGGTGGTCACTATTCCAACAAGGTCAGCGCTGACCGCATGGGCTGAGAGCCGTGGTCGGCAAACGGCGGCTCGCGAGCCACATGCGGCTCTTTGGCCCCTTGAGTGTGGCTCTTCCTAAGCCTTAGGAGGACCCTAATTAAGTTAGTAATGATGTACCTACCTATATAGTTTAAGTTTAAAAAATGTGGCTCTCCAAAGAAATTTCACTCGTTATCCTGTTGATACTTGGCTCTGTTGACTCTGAGTTTGCCGACCACTGGTAGAGTGTAGGGAGCGAAACCCCGCCTTCTGCGGGCGGGGACTGTGACCTGCGGGCTGCCTCCGGCTGCCACTGCTCCATCCTGTGTGTGACGTGTGCTGACGCTGACTGTTCTAGACGCCAGAGCCCAGCGCAGAGGGAGGGCCCAAGAAGCTGTGCTACGTGGAGCCGGAGAGCGAGCACTCGGCCCTGCTGGCGGCCATCCGGGGGCACCGCGGCGCCTGCAG